CGTTTTGAATGTCTGTATGATGAATGCGACCTCATTTCCCCTGCAAACGAAACGATAGACGTACCCCCTGCCCCTCGCTCTGTCCCGCTGGCCCGCAAGGAAAAGTGGGAACGAAAACTCCCTCAGCGCTACGTGGTCGCAGCCTCCCCCGGCGCCAACTCCCTGCACCTCCCCCTAGAGATCCAGTCCACCGACAATGCAGTCCAGCTCGCCCTCAACGGACTGGTCGACTGCGGCGCCACGTCGGACTTCATCGACTCCACCTACGCCTCCGAAAACCGACTTCCGGTCCGGCAGCTCTCCCAGCCTATCCCAGTCTACAACGTGGACGGCACGCCAAATGAAGCCGGCTCCATCCGACAAGTTGCCGACGTGGTCCTGCGTTACCAAGGACACAGCGAGCGTGTCCAGCTCGCCGTCACTCGGCTTGGCAAGCAGAAATTGATCCTCGGCTATTCCTGGCTTCGGAAGCACAACCCGGAGATCAATTGGGACACCCAGGAGGTAAAGATGAGCCGCTGCCCATCGGGCTGCTCTACCTGCACCGAGGAATCTCGCCAAGAGAGACGGATAGCCCGGATTTCGGCCCGAGCACTCCGATCAGCCCGACAAGGCCCTGCCCCCTCCATCTGCGTCGTTGATATTGAAGACCGCGAAGACGAGGCTATGCCACTGCTCCAGGAAGACGACGGAGAAGATTCCGACGAAGAAGAAGATTGTCTGGAAACCGGTGACCGTATCCTCTACACCCGTTTCAACCCTTCTGAAGACATCCGAGCCACTAGCACCGTCTCCCAGCGTCTTGCGGAGGCGTTTGCCAAGAACTCTGCCCCCCCTTGGGATTCCATACCCGAGTGGGCACGTGAGTTCGAGGATGTTTTCAGCAAGGAGTCCTTCGACAACCTTCCGGAACGTCGCCCCTGGGACCACGCCATCGAACTGGTGCCCGACGCAAAGCCAACAAACTGCAAGGTCTACCGTATCTCCCCCTTGGAGCAGAAGCAGCTTGACGCTTTCATCGAAGAAGGCATGGCCACCGGCCGGATCCAACCCTCGAAGTCCCCTATGGCCTCCCCGGTCTTCTTTGTCAAAAAGAAGGACGGCAGTCTACGGTTTGTCCAAGATTACCGGGCACTGAATGCAATGACAGTGAAGAATCGGTACCCCCTTCCCTTAATCAACGACCTGATCAACAAGCTCAAGGGTGCCCGCTTCTTCACCAAACTCGATGTTCGATGGGGCTTCAACAACGTACGGATACGAGAAGGAGATGAGTGGAAGGCTGCATTTCGGACTAACCGCGGGCTCTTCGAGCCACTGGTGATGTATTTCGGCCTCACCAACTCCCCTGCAACGTTCCAGACTATGATGAATGACATCCTCCAGGACCTCATACTCTCTGGCGACGTCATGGTGTACCTGGACGACATCCTCATTGCGCACTCCGACCTTCACCTCCATCGTCGTATCGTGAATGAGGTCCTCCGACGCCTTCGCAAAAACAAGCTGTACCTCCAAGCAGAGAAGTGCGAATTCGAGATGGAGTCCATCGAGTACCTTGGCGTGATCATCTCCCACAACCACGTCGAGATGGACCCCGTCAAGGTGGCAGGAGTAGCCGAATGGCCGGCTCCCTCTAACAAGAAGGAAGTGCAGCAGTTCCTTGGGTTCACTAACTTCTACCGGAGGTTTATTCGGGACTTCTCCCACGTTGCGCGCCCGCTCTTCGACCTCACCAAGAAGGACGTATCATGGTCTTGGGGCGACAACGAGTCCGCTTCGTTCCAGGCCTTGAAGGATGCAGTCACCTCTACACCGGTTCTTCTCCTCCCAGACTCCTCTCGTCCTTATCGCCTAGAGGCTGATAGCTCCGATTTTGCCACAGGAGCCGTCATCTCGCAGCAGTCCCCCTCGGACGACAAGTGGCACCCAGTCGCCTTCTTTTCCAAGAGCCTTAACGACGTCCAACGCAACTACGAGATCCACGACAAGGAGATGCTCGCAATTGTACGTGCGCTGGAGGAGTGGCGGCACTTCTTGGAAGGCGCCGAATACCCCGTGGAAATCTGGACCGACCACAAGAACTTGGAGTACTTCCGCAAGGCCCAGAACCTCAATCGCCGGCAAGCCCGATGGTCGCTCTACTTGTCCCGCTTCGATTTCACGCTCCACCACCAACCTGGCCGGCTCATGGGACGACCAGACGCACTCTCCCGACGCCCGGACCACGGAGCCCCCTCGGACAACACAGATGTCACCCTGCTGAGGCCGGAACTGTTCCATGTGCGTGCACTCGAGGGACTTTCCGTCTCTGGCCCGGAAGCCCCGCTTGTCCGTGACATTCGGGAATCGCTTTCCGGTGACCCTGACCTTGAGGAAGCTGTTGCGCTCGTAGCGCGACAGCTTCTAAAGGGGATGAAGGGGGCCCGCTCTGCAGTCACAGCAGAGTGGCATGTCCAGGACGGCCTGCTCTACTTCCGTGGGAAACTGGTGGTTCCGCGCGACAAGGACCTTCGACGACGCATCCTCGAGCAACATCACGACACCCGTGTTGCAGGGCACGCTGGGCGCTTCAAGACGCTGGAGCTGGTCTCTCGGAACTACTGGTGGCCCCAGCTTTCACGACACGTTGGCCGATACGTGGCCACCTGCGACCTGTGCTGTCGGACCAAGGCTCTCCGACGACTCCCCACTGGAGAGCTTCACCCCACAGAGATCCCCTCGGAACGTTGGGAATCGGTGTCGGTGGACTTTATTGTTGAGTTACCGGAGGCGCACGGCTACGACGCTATCATGGTGGTCGTTGACATGCTAGGGAAGCGTGCCCACTTCATCGAGTGCCACACTCGCCTCTCGGCCGAAGGGATGGCTCGGTTGTTCTACAAGCACGTCTGGCGACACCACGGGTTACCTATCAAGTATGTCTCCGACCGCGGCCCTCAGTTTGTGGCGGACTTCACCTGGGAGCTATGGAAGCTGGTTGGCGTTTCCCCTGCCACGTCCACTGCTTATCACCCGCAGACTGATGGCCAGACCGAGCGGGTCAACCAGGAGCTGGAGCAATACCTCCGGATCTTCACCAGCTACAAGCAGGACGACTGGGACGAGCTCCTGCCCGCAGCCGAGTTTGCTTACAACAACCACGTCCACTCCTCGACCCAACAGGTTCCCTTCATGACGGACACAGGACGTTTACCACGCATGGGATTCGAGCCAACAGGGCAGCGCTCCACCCGAGCAGAGTCTGCCAACGAGTTTCTGGATCGGGTCGCATCGGGCGTAACCGAGGCCAAATCAGCACTGGTCAAGGCAAAGGACGAGTACAAGAGGTACTATGACCGACGAAGGACCGCCGCTCCCGACATCAAGGTTGGCAGCCGAGTCTGGCTTGACGCCTCGGACATCACAACAACGCGACCCTCTCGTGGCCTCTCCCACCGACGCCTGGGCCCCTTCAAGGTCACCCAAGTCGTAGGTCAAGGCGCATACAAGCTCGCCCTCCCCACTAGCCTCTCTCGCCTCCACCCTGTCTTCCCCGTGGTCAAGCTCCAGTTGGCCGAAGACGACCCGTTCCCCACTCGCCCACGTCACAAAGAACCACCCCCTGTCCTAGGACAAGGCAAAGGAGAGGAGTGGGAAGTGGAGGAGATCCTAGACGCAAAGATGCGATACCGGAGTGTCTGGTTCCGAGTGCGATGGAAGGGCTATGACCCATCTCATGACCAGTGGGTCAAGCACTCAGATGTGTTTGCTGACGATGCAGTGGCAGCATTTTACCGCAAATACCCTGGGAAGCCACGTGTCATCGCAGCGGCCGTATTTGACTCGCTGCCCTTCAGGGACTCGTCAACCCCCAACCGTGCCTTGCGTCGAGGCGCCGCAATCAAGAGGGGGGGTGATGTCAGGGGAACCCCTGCTTTCGTCCGATCATCCTGGGATCTTGCATGTGATCACGCACGCGCCATCTGTCAGGCGTCACATGCTTCGGTCCGGACTTCCCTGCCAAGCACATCCACATGACACCCGGGCCCGGATCCCCATTGTTCCGACGGTCCGGCTCCCATTGTTCTCCCCCGATCCGGCCCCTCATTGTTCCCTGGCCCCATTGTCTGGCGCTTCCATTGTGCTTGGTCATCCATTGTTCTGTAGGCTATATATAGTGGGCCCTGACAAGGAGAGTCCCCAACTCGGTTTCTCTTTGGACTCTCCCTTGTCAAGTTTGCCAGTCTCCTGTACTAGTTGATCCCCTTATCTGACGCTTTGGACTCTCCCTTGTCAGGACTCTGAGATCGGGCCTCGAGGTCGCCCTTACAATAGTCCATCACGGAATACGGGAGAAAGACTGACGTAGAACTTGGATCATGCTTGACATCCCCAAAGCATGCGGGGCAGCGGCGACGCAGATATTCCGAGGCCCGTGTCCGGTGCATTGGCGCACCAAATGGATTGGGATGGTCTAATGGCCGTTTGTGCTCGCCATGCCTGGTACCCGCCTCAGCGCGAGATGCCAAATGCTGGTCGTCTTTCACGGCAGGACCAACCAGGTCGCGACGAACTTTCTCCTGCTGCTCGTCAACCTCTGCATCCACCACGTTACGCAGATGCAGATACCACTCCAGTGCCGATGCAAAAGAGCGTCGCAACGATCCCTTCAGCACACATCAGATTTGACATTACTGACAAGCAACTGATGCACCTCATGGTCTAACTGGAATCCCAAGCCTCGGAGGAAGGATTCCAGCGCTGTTGTCCATGCGGTGTTGTTTGGCGAAGTGCGAAGAAACACTTCTCGAGTCAACTCCAGTACATGGAGATCCACCGCAAATGACGGCAGCAATGGTGACGAGGGAAACGACCCTGAGCGCAGCAACTGCTCCGCCGCCGGGACACATTGACAAACATCGATCTCGACGTCTTGGATCTCTGTAGGGAGAGTTGATCAATCAAAATACTTTTGAAAGGAGCAGAGGGATGTACCGTGCATTCGCCAAACCGAGACCTTACAAAGCCGGGTCGAAGCGCAGGTGCAGATTCGACGACACAGTCTTGGAAGATCCTGAAGGCGCTGGAGGCCTCTCGTCGAAAAGAAGACATTGCTGAATATTGGAACGAGGCAGGGGATGATTTTGTCCTGCCAGGCCTTCCACGCCTGATGGGTGGCCCGGTGATGACGTGAAGTTTCGAAGTCGGGGTTCATGAAGGGGGTGACAATAGGCGATAGATTGAATTCGGAGTTGGAAGGTGGAGATGGCAATAACGGCGACGCGCCCAGAAGAGGTGATGCGCCCAACCTTGTCGGAGTTGGTGGAACAACAAACAATCGCCTCGGCGTTGACGGGTTGGATGTTGGATGGGCGGGGAAGATAAGACACAGGGACAATAGTGATGAGTTTGTAGGGATGGGTGTGCTAGGACGTTTCGCGGAGCTGGGTTCCGCATCCTCTGCTGCAGACTTTTTAGGCAGAGCGACACGCACTGCCTTCTTTGTCTTTCCTGCTAGGCGGAATACAGGCTGGAATTTGTGCAAGTTCTTGCCCAGGCTGCGTTTCCTGGGTTTCGCGTCCACGAGAGATGTAGAGGACGCGATTGGCACGTGTTTCGTCCTCTCGTTGAATCGTCCAGGCATTTCGAGGGAGCTGGGACTTGAATAAGACGCATACGTGAGCTTTCGGATTCTACACTCACCCAGCGGCACACCGCTATGGCCGCTTGAAGCAAAAGGGACACGTGACTGGTGATATTTGCGGACCACAATTCGGCCAAGCGTTGATGGTAGCAGCGGTGGCTGTGCTGTCGATCAGGTGGCTGTACCGTGCCAGACATCCAGAAACAAGTCTATTTATGCAGGACTGATGTGCGAAAGTAAGTTTATAGTTCAATCTTGCGCCCCGGACTCACTGTAAAGAATGTTTTTTGACTCTCCCGTTCAATGATAAAGACTGTATATGAAAAAAAACGATCCTACTTCTGAATTCTGTACCGAGGCGCATAAGTGGAGGAAATGGTTGCGACCAACTCGGGACCTGGAGATGGTCACGACCAACTCGCCACTGACAGGTGGTCGCAACCATATGGCACATTGATGATGCGTCTTCAAAGTTTGCTCGCTGGTGCCTTCCAGCGCCATTCATGTTACGGATCTCTATTTCGTGTCAATTATAAGGGCCACATAGGCTGAATGTCGTATTCTCCGTTGCCTGGTCGCATAACATAACCCGATCCCTCCATCCCTACCAGGACAGGAACTTCGTCATGTCCTCCTACAGTGCGCCCCTCAAGACCAGTGGCCCAGTGCTCAATCTCGTACGCAAGTTTTTCGGCTTGAGTAGGATACCCAAGTGGCCAGGTGAATTTATAAAGGGATTGTTGCATGCGCAACTCAGTGTGAAAGTGAATGGAGAAGACAGATGTTTTCATTGCCTCGACTTTCATGATTGCGCGGCGGAGCTCATCATGGTAGTCTTGTAGATCCAGTCCAATACCTAAGTCCTGAAAATGCATGTCAGATCTGTCGAGGTGCAAACAGGGTCAAACGCTCAGATTCACCGCATCCAAAGACAGTATAGCCCACCAGGTGCATCTTATTCTCACTTGAACTTCGCTTAGACCGCCCCACCAATCAACAGGCTGATCTAAGTCCATACAGCAACTTGTTTCAATCGACTGGTGCCCATCGGGTGCTTGGGACTCGACAATGTTTGCCCACTCATGGACACGAAACGCAACAAACTCTGCGTGCGTTGGCAAGCCCTGGGGCCAGATGACATCCTGAAGAGTTTGGCCGCCAGCGAGCACAGAATCGGGAGCGATGGCGTCCGTCACAGTGAACATGCTGGAGAACTTGTCCAGACCGCGATAGAGGGCTTTTCGGAAGAAGCGGAAGTTGGCACACTCGTCGGGCTCCTGCATACTTTTGGTCTCATTCAATGCGAAAGGTCACAGAGGTCTGCCGTGTACCTCATCTTTCATGATGCACGCCCAGTTTCTTTCACGGAGAATCAATCGATGGTCTGTCCACCCAGGAGCTGCATCAAACCCGTAGAAAGAGCCCATTGTGACTATAGCGCCCTGCGGTAAAGTAGCGAAATGGTTGAGGCCAAGACACGAATGCGTTGTATGTGTTTGACGAGGCAAAACGCCTCATCTTTGATGGTATTGATCAGGGCGGTGCAGATAAGATTGCTATTACATGAAGATCTCCTGCCCACATTCCATCTTACACTTGGAGGGCCAGATTCAAACTTTGTTCATAAAATGGCATGTACATCAGAGACAACAAGCGCTGGCAAGCATGAGTCACTTAGAGACGGCCTATGGTTTTACAGGTAGTAGAATCATACATACTTCCACATCTGATATATTGAGAATCATCAGCAATATAATATACAAGAGATTTGAGATAACTTATGTTTATTTCACTACAAGCTCCAATGGATGAGTGGTAAGCCTTTCCTTTGTCATGAGACGTTCTCCTCTGGCGTCTTGAGGTAGGTCATCCGTTCGAACTACGGTGGAAGATCCTTTTTTGCCTTGACTGGTTTCTATTGTTGACTGGTCGCGACCAACTTGTGGGCGAAACCAGTGTCACACTAGTTCATAAATGATATCGACACTCATTGTATGACCAGATCGCGCAACGAGACGATTATATTTACGACAGCAGTAATCATACTTGTACACTGCATCTACGTGTTCCCAAAATATGAAGTGTCATACTTGACCTTCTTGTCCACACATGAAACAACAGGCACGTTGAGTGATCCACAAAGCGAAGAGATATGGAAATTAGCCGTGACGTCAGAGGATGGGAAACTGACAGTGACATTGTCCCCCTGGCGGGTCTCGGGTTTTGTCCGCGCATATTGACCGAGGTGGTCCTTCTTGCCATGCTCGTCGGGGCCAATAATGACAACACGGCAGGCAACGTCCAAGATTGACGGCAAAAGGGAGCGATCCTCCTCCCACGTAGTTGGTAGGCGACATCGAGCGGGTGTCAGTGCAATGGCCGGTGCCTTGATCATTTTCTGCTGTGTCGGCCCCAGAACAACGTGGAATATCTTGCTCTTCAAGTTGGTCCAGTCCCTCGGAGGGACAATGTAACCGCGTCGGGATCCGGACGCCACAAGTAACTCCGTGAAAGCGGCAGAGTTACGGGAGCCTTTATGAACTTTCTGAAGAACGGACTCTGCCTCTTCTTTCCTCAATCGCTCCAGTTCCTCCTTTGGCTTGATGATGACGTCGACACGCTTGCCCCGAAGTGGGATACCCGAGAGCCAGGCGTCGCCAGGGTCAGTTCGCTCAGAAGCGGCCGAGATGGACTGCTCAGCTGCAGTGAATTGTGGGCAGGCTTCGGGCTGTGGCGAAGGTGTGCGAAGTCTGGGGCTACTGAACACATCCATTTCCCCCATGGTTTGCATCCACAAGACCTTCCAAAGCGGGTACTGATAGCTCCCTCTGATTGGCATGAGCGAGCGTTGTAAGACTTTTGTGAACAGTACAAACCGGCGACACACCACATCCGAGGCTGCGACCAGAGTGTCAGTGGCACCAATTGCGCTATCCAAAGCAATCTGCAACTGGACATCGAGCAAAGCACGTTCAAGGGTGTTTGTGTTATCATCCAGACCCTCTTTAGAGATCTTCCTGCTGTGGTTGTAGCCCAATATTCGACCCCATCTGCCCTTGAAGGCACCATGGATGACAAGAACGACGATACCGTTCAACTTCGGCAGACCATCTCCCATGTCGCGCCTCATTGCACGCAAACGCTTGTCCGCCTCGTTCAAGGAAGGGACGACTGTGCTCATCGGTAACAAGGAGGAATTGAAAGATTGAACGAGGTCGAAGGACTTGACCACGAGCTGCAATATGATAAGATTCGGTTTTGAAGAAGCCCGTGAGGAACGACCCACCGACTTCGCCAGCTGCGTATGTAACCGATCGACATTTTTGTCCTCCATGTTGTGCCAATTGTGGAAGACTTTGTTCAGGATTTCGTCTGATGTCGTCTAACGGAGGTCAGTTTCCGCTACTCCTTTTGTGCGGCGAACACACCAGTTGTATCTTGACATCTCCGTTCCCCGACAATCCAACCACAAAGCCCACCAATCCAGCATAGACTGCAGAGATACTGAAGGGATGTTCCGTGATTTTGACAATGTCGCCCTGCTCAAGGAGTGTGTGGATGCAACGGCGCGGAACAATGACCGCCTCTGGAGATGCGATGTTGGAAGAAAGGATTCGCGCCGTCGATTCATCGACTTCGCTGACACGCCTAATCACACCTCTGGGCAGATGCCCCTCACCCTGGGCCATTACAACTCTGTCACCAACGTTGATGGACCGCGGCGGGCACAGAGGATGTCTGGAGAGGTACTTGACTGGCACTTCCCAGGTTTGGCAGCAGGTCACCACCCGGTCGCCATCGCCATCCGGGAAAGGATACTCATTCACTCGCAAGGTCGCGATTCGCTGGTCATCGACGAAGGAAATGCTGACCACCCATGCATCCCCTTTGCCTTGGGCTTTCCGGCAATTATTGAAGACTCGGTCGCCAGCCTGCAACGCGCATCTCGACAAATCCTCGCAATGTTGATCGAAACATCCCAAGGTTCCATCCAAACGCTGTCAGGGGACGCCGCGCTCCTTGGGCACGTGACCATGCACGTGACCCACTGCGCCCTCTCTGCCAACCCGTGCCTGCTCACCTGTTGATCACCCAGCCTCCTCCTCCTCCTCCGATCCTCATCTCCATCCATGCCGACATCTGCCCTCTCCCTCCTTCCCCCGGCCATCTCCCTCGAATCCCCGCAAGCGGTCTAGCCAAGCCCGATTCCTTGCACCAGGGAGTGCTACTGCCGTATGCACTCCTCCCCCTCTACTTCGGCCTTCTCCCCGCGGATGTGGTCTACTGCCGTACAGGCTTGTACCAGATGCCCTTGCGCTCATCCGCACCACCCCTCTTCCCAGTTGGGCATTGGTCCTCGCCTCCGATGCCTCCACTGGCTGGCCCGGCACTAGACTGGCCACTGGGCTCCTCCAGTGTGGCCTTCCACTGTTGGTGTCTCAGGAGCTGGCCATCACTGGCCCCTCTGAGCCACTCACTATCTTATCTGGGTTTGTCATTATCTACTTGTCATCTGCCATTGTTCCATGGCAGTGATATCCCATCATCATCAGTCACTTGTCACAGCTGGCTATATAGTGTGACACCTGGGCACATGGATCCTTGAACCGTTCTCTAAGGATCCCCCTCTGTGCTCAGGTGAGTAGTATACCTCCCTTGTATTTGATAGTCTCTAAGGATCCCCCTCTGTGCTCAGACTCATATGAGGTTGTTGTGTGCTGTGTGCTCTCTTCCTTCGGGCTGGCAGGAGTTGCCCTTACAAACGCATGAACTCGGCCAGCTCGTCGCGCGGCGGGGGTTCGGTGAGAAACTCGACAGGTCGGGCGGGATCATTGATATCGCAGTTGACAGACTCGAAGGGACCCCAGAAGGTGCGATGAGCCCATGTTAAGTGTTCAGCATGGACAAAATGGGATTCTTCCTCGTCATCCGAAACTCGATCATAGACCGGCCGCATCGCGGAAGGAATTCTGGAGATATCGAAGCCGCTGCGTTTCGGT